GGCTGACCGCATTTCCACTTCTATACCCAAACCATTCACTTGCCCGTCTCTTTGCTGTGCTCTCTCTCTTCTGCTCGCGTGCTCAGGAATCCTGTTAGACGCTCAACCCTGCCCGCACGTGTTGTGAATTTGCCAATCCGTTTGCTTAGTTCTGACCAGATTTACACATGCATAAAACTCGAAGAAAGATAGACGCGTTGAACACCTAGGCATCCAGGACAGCAAGAAAATCCCTCATCCCAAGAAGATTTCCGCCAGATTGCTTGATACAAAACCCTTATACAATGTTGAAAAGGACTAGGACATCAAGGAGTTTCCTTCGTAAATCCACTAATGATCGCAGACAGAACACCCCCAAATTCATGCCTTATGAGGATGCTAATTAACCCCTTTGTAAAACTAGCCCTGGGCTTTGCTGAAGGCAACTAATTTTCCAGTACCTTTCAGGATGTTTTGGTTATCGGTCGGGGGGTTCTATTATTGCGTGGGGCCCATGCTTAGGCAGAACGGACTAAGCACGCGCTATGCCGACCCAAGGCCATGAATTAAAAGATTCTTGATCGTGTCACAGCTTCAAAGCTCAGCAAGCTCAGCACCTGCTCTCCGAAATTTGCGGCTTTCTCCATGGACTCCGTCTGCGCACAGACTTCTGGAGTCTAAGCTGACATGGAATGCTGACTTCCAGCTGTGCATTTCTAATTGCAGGTGCTGCAGGGGCATTTGTCATTTACATCAACCCGTTACGACCCTAAGTGTTGGGCGTGCCGATCATTCTCTCACAGGTCACCTAACAGCAAGCGCGACGAGCTCTGGCGGGCGAGTCTTGCAATGCACTCGTGTGTCACTCGTGTGCCTGAGGATGCCTGAAACCGGAGCGAGTAGATCAGCACATTTACGCCCTCAGGCAACTCAGGACTTGATAGCTTGCGGGGCCCACAGTGAACAAAGCTCCAATGTTCGACGATGCCAAATGTGCTCCTGAATCCTTTAACTGCTCTCATGAGACATTGGATTGGAGCCTGCTTGGCAAGTCTTGCCAGGAGTGAGCGTATCCCACCCCTCAGTCCAGCTGCAATTTGCTGATGGACCCTAAACAGGCCATTGGAGAGAGGATGGTTCTCGCACTTTGTTGCCGCGGCGGGTCAGGCATGCATCAAGTTCAGAACACCACCTTGCATGAGAAAATCTCTTGCGCCAAGGAATTTCATGCGCCCTGATGCAGGCTTGGTCTCTCAAAGTCGGATCCAAGCTCCACACGTGCTGAAATCTGGTGGGATGAAGCCCTGGCCTAGGATTGCAGCTCTGGGATCCTAATTAAAGCTCAAGCCTCAAGTGGCTGCTGAAGGGTGAATGGTGATCGCTTCGCAGTGATGCTGGGGCTTTGGATCCCTTCTCTGCTTTACTCCTCACTTAGCTTGATATTTCTGACGTCAGAACGTTCGAACTGTCAACACATGCCTGGCAAGGAGGGATGAGGACTATGCTGACGGCAAAGCGAAGAAATGGGCTCGGATGTTGCGCTTATACTCATGTTTTACTTTCAAGGGCATTTCATGCAATCGCGAGGTAAAAGTATATTTGGAGGGGAAGAAGGTCACTGACTGGTGGTTGTGTCTGGCCTGTCACTGAGCTGCATGTAACCTGAAATGACCCGAATCTTCCTGCGAGCGTGTCCTGATTGGTGATTTGAACCGATGACCTGAACCACACGCGGTTCAAAAATGGACAGCTGTTGTTTGACGTCCTCCTGCTTCTAGATCAGCGCGCAAATGCACCAAGACACACGTGTGTGGGAGACCAAAAGCAAAAGCTGCAAACCCCCAATCTGAATAGACCGACTGTGAAGCTATGAGCTCGCAATGATAGGCTCTGTGCAGCTGCGTGGCCCAGCAACGTGGAGTCTGGCTCTGGCTGAAGGTCGGTGAAATGATGAATGGGCGCGAAGGCTGCACCTGTTCTAAGAATTGAGAACCGGCGTCGGTTGGCAAGTTCGGGGATGCGGTAATTAGTGTGAACTTGACTTCTTGATAGGCACGCGTCAAGGAGCAGTTCCTGTAAGGACCATCCATCTAGGCGAACAAGAGACATGAGAGACATGATCACAGCAAGCAACCCTTACTTACAGGCGTTCGAATCCGAAGCTGACCCATCTCACATCTAATGAAAGTTCACGTGCGTCGTTGGAATGCCTGAGGGGCTTCCCTTGGACTCATCAAACAGCAGTTCCACAGCGCTGAGCTACAGCCTGCCACGCCATCCGGGAGTGGAGCCATAGCTTGCTACATGCGTTTACATATCCAGCTATGCCTCTGTCCGCCTTGGATCTTGGATTGCACTGCGTGAAGGCACTTGAACATGGTTCCAAACATATTTGCGGATGGTCATGACCCAGGTGCTTCAAGAGGCATGCAATCTTGAAGAACAGGGCATGAGCCTGAGCACTTATCGCTATGCTGAGAAGCCTGAGCCAAGTGCAGCAATTCATCCTGCTCTATGCAGAATACATGGAAAAGCCATCCAAAACCAATGACCGATCTGTGTCTCTTGAGAGTTCTAGCGTTGGTTTTCCCTCAAACCTGACTATTTAGGAGCACTGTGTCCAGCCTTTCAGCTATGGCAAGGGTGCGTTGGAACATGAGGGCATGCCGCAGATTTTTAGCATGTCGGCTCGCTTCTTCCTTCGACGGCTGGTAAGGAATGTAAACGTAATTGGCCATCAGTCTCCGGTACTGGATGAGAAGCCTTCTCAGCAAGCGCAACTTGATGCTCGATAACTGCTTTGCACAGTAGCGGCAAACAATGGCACACCTCCCCAGCTCGCTTGAATGTGCACCTAGCAACAAAAAGTGGTCTGGGAGAGGCGATGCATGCTTGAGATAACTTGAGATGTCTTCGCATTTTCGGGCAGTCCTCTCCCGCTTATTTCTACTTGCCATCAAATGCCTCCGGAGAGAGTATGCGGTTGAATCCGTCTGAAAGCCCTCTAATTCAGACAGATTGCCTGCGCGGGGTCGCGCTGCCGCAATGAGGCGCCTTCGCAACTCAGCGCTCTGAAGCTGTGGGCTTGGGTCCGGGAGGTCAAACTCTCAACTCATGTGTGCTCGCTGGCTTAGCAGTTAGGAATATCTATCAAATTTTAACTGTGTGCCTAAACATCCAAGGCTCGGACTTGTCTCTCCTAGTCTCCTAGGAGATGACACGTCATCGCATGCTTGGTTGCTTTGCCCATTAGCAAAGCTCGAACTCTTCACGCTTTTCATGAAGAGGCCGGTACATACTGGCTTCGCTAGCACGAAGGGTCGCGATGCAAAAGGAGGAGCAGAGGTGAGTTGCAAACAGGTCTCGGCACCATCCTAACGCGAACATCTAGGGTGATGCTGGTAATCTGAGGGCATAAAAGGAACGTGATTCTTGGCAACTAAGCCGGGAATACCTGGCAGCTACAAGAGGGGTGGTTCCAGCTTTGCATCGCGAGCGCTTGAACTTTGCCAAGGCCTTGCTGCGTATGTCAGGTGGATGTATAGCAAGTAAGTGCAACTGCTCTCAACAAATATGCACGCTTCGCCTTAATTGTGGAATCTGAAATCTATCACAACTGATTAGGCTGCCTTCGCAGAGTTCCCAGATGAGGCCGCGCAGGAGCGGTTTGTCAAGGCTTGCAGGCTGCGCCTCTTGCGCTGCACTGCGCTGCACTGCGCTGCCCTGCGCTGGCATTGCAATTAGATGCCACGCTGAGTTTGGGGCATGGTGACGCCCTGCCGTGAGGTGCTAGGACCTGCTAGGATATTACACAGTTTGGTTTCTTCTTCACTTCCTCGATAGTCCGCTCTAGCTCCGAGTTCTCCGTAGAGATCTTTGCGCAATCGTCTTCGAGGAACGAGATCTTGCTCTGCAGATTCTTATTTTCATCTTCCAGACCCTGGAGGCGCTGTTGCAGGTTGCTTGTGATGTTCTCATGCAACTTCAAGACTTGTTCATGCACGGTGTCCCGATGCCGGCTGGCCGCCAGGACCTCGCTCTCGGTCTCCCGGTGCTGTCTCTCCAAGGCACCTTCGACATCCTGCATCCGTGCCTCAGCTGTCTGTAATTCCTGGTGTGCTTGGCGGCACTGGGTGTGCGTCTCATCCTTCGCATTCATCAACTCATTTGCCTCCTCCTGAGCCAGTTGCGCCTCTGCCTCCGACTCTTCCAGGGTTTGTCGTAAAGAGCCATGCTCACCACAGACCTGCTCCAGCAGGATGTTCCGGTCGGCTACCAGCTGGTAAACATCGCTCAGCGCTGCTTCTAGTGAGGCTCCCTGCTCCCGAGCTTGGCCCAGCTGGACCTCCAAATCGTCGCCCTCCCGCTCAGCATCCTCGAGCTCCTGGAGCCGAGCCACGAGCCGTCTTCGGCAGTCCTCCAACCCATCCACCTCGGTCAGCGCATGAATCTTGCCAGCTCGCCTTTCACGAAGGCCTGGCAACCTGCCTGCACCCAATGGGAAGAACTGCAACCTAACATCACAGTCCATCATAGCCAAGCTGCGCGTTGGCGACTTTGAGCGTTCGCTTCTTTTGCCTCCATTGCAGGCTTGGAAGGGTTAGGCAAGCTTGACCGTGCCGCCTGCTGCCAAAAATGACATGTTTGTAGGTTACGAACATGAATAACACCCACTTTACACACCAAAAAGGTTGCTACTAACATCAATCAATTTGGGGCACCAAGCTCTTAATGGACTCTCGTTGTAGAAGTAGCAGCAGCAGCAGCATCAGCATCATCAGCATGACAAGGGCTACCATAGCCCCCGGAGTAAGTAGCCTGGCTCAAAAAAGACCTTGGCAATTCTGCAGAAAGTGAGAGTCAAAGGACTGGGATACTACCGATAGGGGCAGAACCTGCTGGAAAAGCGGGGGCTGGCTAGTCTTCGCCGCAGCTTCAGGACACCCAGCTCAGCCATGTTATGTTTACCAGCATCCGTCGCAATGCCTCGCAGGTGTTGTCGAACTGCCATGAAGCCTCGGATTCCTCTTCCGCCATAAAACGGCGCTGCCTGCAAGGGTGTAAGATGCCCAGGAACGCTCAGATTGTAATGCACATGCTGTAAGCATGGGCACCTGGATTCTGCTGCAGTTGGCATCGAGTACAGGAGTTGACAAACCCTGCAAGCCTGCACCTACAGCTTGAGTTAATCACAAACCAAAAGTGCCCAGCGACATGAATCGGGTCTGACATCTCCAGAAACCCATGCGGCCTAGTGCCATGGTAGAGGGCACTTGCAAGCTCCTTGGCAATTGCTTCATAAATATCTTGATGATCAAAAATCAAGGGGACATGAAACAGGACTTGCCGTAAGAAGCACCAAGCAAAGCTCCGAGCCCTTCAGCCACCTGATCTTCCGAGACTGATTGCAACCCTCCACTTCTCGAGACTTCGCAGCCACAAGTCATGCTATGTGTGATTGCCTTCCTATAACTCCCCTGGGCACTCATTCCAGGTATCTTCTAGGTAGTCACCCATTTTCGTGAGTGTCTAGCTACACTAGCTTTATTCTCGTAACAGGCAAAATACATGCCGAGCATCATTCTGCAAGTTATCTGTCTCATGTAGCGTCTTCTGCAGTGAGAACTGAATCCCGGAGCAGCTTTCCTGAACGAAAGTGCCGGAGGCGGATCTCGACTTGCTTGCATTTGCTTTCGGCTTTTGGATGCGCAATGTGCACGCTTCTGTCTGCCAATACACGGGTTAGAGTGAGGGATGTCCTTTCGAGAGCAAGGCAGAGAGCAAGGCATTGCCAGGCCAGGCAATTACCGAGTAGGGCACAAGGCTCATTAAAATGATAAGACTAAGAATATCTGACACTGTGCAACACTGTGCAAGCAAGTGCTTTCCGCAGACATTGCATGGAACAGTATCTCCAGCGCTGTTGGATCGTGCTGAATATAATTACCAAGAACCGAAACAAGATGTGCGGCCGGCGTAAGCAATGAGGTTGTCTTCAAGCCCCAAGTCTGCTTGTTCGACACCCAATGATGTTTTGGTCTCAACACCTATGGGCATCTCCGAACCGGGTGCATACATGAGCCGTCGCAAATTTACAACGCTGTCTCTTAGACGAGACTACCCTGAGGACTGGTGGGTCGCGGGTGCACGCAGGAAGCCTGTCCTGCGCCCCGGCGCCCTGGTCCTTGGTGTCCCTGATTGACTGCTCTGTGGTTTCCACCTGGGAGGGTGACAATGCATTTCAGCTTGGCAAAAGTACCAGGGGGACCGAATTCCAGAAGGGCCTGGACATGTGCATCATGAATACGGCTCAATGACAACTTGGCGGTGAAGGTTCTCTGCCCAAGCGTGGTTCATAGGCTGGAAAATGCTAAGTACCCCATGTCAAGAACCCCCCCAATAATTCCTTAAATCCGGACCTGACTATGCAAAGGATGACGGGAGGTGTCCTCCACCACCAAGAGCATGTTGCCCGTACCATGCAAGTCTAGTGAGTATATGAGTATGCGAATATAGAGCCCCTCCTATGGTAAGTATTGATACAATATCAATTTGAGTTTCCTCCTCCCCTAGGCTGCGAAGGATAATCAACATCCAGCCCCCCAGCTTCATGAAGCTGAGATTCCTACAAAAGAATCCATCCTGACCCCTTCCCCAATCTATGATAGAAACAACAGCTTGCTGCGTTCTGGACCTTGTCTGCCCCTGCTACTGCTAATGCAAAGAGCAACAGACGCCGGACTTTCTGTTTCTTTAAAGGGAATTTACCTAACGAATCTAGCAAATATGTAACCACAATTACGGATCTCCTTGCCTTCAAGGTTTGTACTGATGGTATGATAGAAAACAAATACAGCTCTTCTCATGGCTGTCTTGTAGCCCAGGATGGAGACATCGGTTTCGTTACAGGAAACGATTGCACAAGGGCATTCTTGGACATGTACATGTGTGTGTGTGTGTGCGCGCATATGGACTTCTGGGCAGACTAGTTGCTTGGAGTCACGATGCAAACATGCGTGAATATAATATCTGTCTGCTCTGCGCTAGAATTCTTGCCCATGGTCTTCCGCAGCTAGAACTCTGCATTAAGGAGAAGTGGGATGGAAATCGTTGGGTGCATGAAGTGGCGTCTGCCTGGTGGACCATGCGCTGTCGTTTAGCGGCCGCCTCCTCGAGAAGAGCGCTCTCCTGAGATGCCACAACTCCGCTCGAGACTTGCCCTGTCTTGCTTTCGGGGGACAACGGCCAATGGTTGGTCAAGAATATTTAGTCATGGGGGCGGGAGGCCGCTAAACTCGCATACCTGCCATGCCTGAGCTGTGAAACTGCCATGCTGACATCCCCAGACATGGCCAGTAATTTGAATGCGCTTCAGTTGCCACCTCTTCCTCAGCCACCTCAGAGTCCATAGTGGGGTCCTACTAAATTTGGCCCCAGCGAGGAACTGCAACACACCATTTCCAAAGGCAAAAGCCTCATACCAGCATAATAACCGCTGGATCACCAGTCTGCGTGCAAGCCTCATGGGCAGCCTCCTCAAGGTAGACCCGGAGCTCAGCCGCCACGTTTGCTTCCTCCTGGCCGGAGGCTCGGATCTCTTCCTCAGCCGGACACTGAGCCTGACTTTTGGAAAGCTAGGATTTTATCCCTCGTGGCAAGTAACCCTGCACTTGGCATTGCCAAAGCAGGGCATAAAACAGACGGCTTCACTTGTCAAAGCCAGCACGCACTGCGGTGCAACAACAGCAATTGCAGAGAAGTCTCTTGAAGCTCCTGGGTTGTGTGCCTGCACAAGGCATGATCAGGACTCGCCGGAACTCAGCTTGTGGCACAAACCGGACATAACTCTCTCCATATTGCAGCAGCCTAGGCCATGTTGAGCCCTGTACCTATCAACGTACTCGTCCTCACATTCGCGATGGTTTTCCTCTTGCGTGCTGCATGTATGGCACGACCACAACTGCTTTCGCAAGCGTCGCTGGCCGCCTTCTGCACGTCTCAGTTAGGCTGAGTGGTCTCAACATGTTCACGAGCACGCCCCTAGATGTTAGCCAAAGGTTTCCCTTTGTGCCGAGAGAGTCATCTGTGCTGCTACAAACTGCTCCTCTCCCTAAAGCCCCAAACCACATGAGGGCTCACCTGGACGCTCGGATGGACTGCCGGCGAACAGCTTTCTGGCGCTCCAAGGCTCCCAAGGAATTCCTGCGTAACCACCGTTCTTTCACGGTTGCTTGGAAAGCAGGGGATGGCAGGGTTCCTATTTGATCAGACATGGGGCCTTGAGGCTGGAAGTTTCAGACATGGACCGACCCTATGCAATGTCCGCCATGCAACGAAGAGACATGTCCTATCTTGCGTCCCTGGAGCACAGAATAAACGACTCCAGCGACCGGAGGTCCCTGGATGATTGCAAGGGCAAAGCAAGCTGCAAGCTTGTTGCGGGAGCCCGCTGTCCGAAGAGTCTGAATCTGGTGGCTTGCATCATTGAGCTCCACATGCTGGTCCTGGCATCAGGGTATGCCCACATCGTTGTTCTTGATATGACCTCTGACAGCAAATGACCTGCTTGGAGCTCCAGCTAGCATTCCTTAAACGACAAAGCTGAGCCCCAAGTTGCCAAGCTGAGGCTCCCGTCTATAAGACTGACTAAAAAACCAGGTCCCGCGAAGTCACTTCGTTCTGGGCGAGCTCCGAGCGAAGTTCCTTCACCAAATTAAATGCAACTATGACTACCAATGCAAGGGTACAGTGAGGCGCGCCGCGTTTGGGGTTACTTACATGGCTACCAAGAACCACTGCCTTGTCTCCTGTCGGAATCCCATGTTGTATGCCACGTGCCATTCTGCCGCCTGGTGCCTAAATCAAGTGGGTCTCAAACGATGCTCTTCTTTATCAGCATCCCCTTTCATTGGGTTGCCGTTCCACTCATCAGGCTAGCAAAAATCCGTCGTCCTGGATTGCTTGCTCGGCTTGCAGAATCTGCGGATAGATCCTACGCATGGGCCGCTAGCACGCTGTGTGCCAGCGCCTCAGCCAGCATGCAAAAGATTGACGTGTAACAGGATGCCCAGGGCACCTGCAATCTCGCAGCATCGGCAGTTCCTTCCCTTCATGCATACACGTGGAAGACGCAGCCGAGCCGCCAAAACATGCTGCCCCTGTGACGATGCCGTAGCATTGCGGCGCGAACCGTGCTAAGGCGGCTAGGGGCGCAGGTTCTGCAATGATGCTGACTCTAACATGGGATGCCGGGCAGGCTGGCAAAGACCAGACTGCACATGTGACAGCTCGTGGCGATTTGCGTGTCGGATCACTGCTGAAAGTCTGGTCTGCAGGCAAACGTACCAAGTTGTGTCTTCTGTATGCTGAGGGCCCTGTGTCCATAGTTTGTCTTCTCTAGCCATGTGGAACAAGTTTCATATGGGTTTGCATCGCAGCGTGTCTTGAGATAAATGACTGCCTCTCTATTCACAGAGCGTTTGATCTTGAGAGGGCCCGATGGGGGAACAACATGCACACGTTTCAGGAACATGCCTCAGCCACTACAAAGGTTACGCGGGCCACATGCGCCACAATCTGAATACTAGATGCATATGTTGCGTTCAAAGCTGTTGAAGTATATCACCTGTGCATCAGAAGTTCACCCTTGATGCCTCTGAGAGCTGGCCTTCCATGTCTACTTGAATCAGCTGCGTTGTGGGTTCGGAATGATGACAAAATCTCAAGGCCTGAAACTATATAAACACAGCGCAATACCTTCTTGAACTTAAGTTGGCTTCAGCTGGGAGAAGCAGCAAGAAAGAGCAATCTTTTGGGGATCAGCTTAACAGCAAATTTCTCCAGCCCCTTAAATTCTGACAGCGAAGCTAACAAACAAACGTTAGGCCTTGGGCCGAAAAATGTCCCCTCAGGACCTCCTTTCCCCTCACCCCCCCTCCCCCGGTCCGGCGGCGGCCGGCCTATGACGGGAGGTCCAGCAACACCTAAACCCCATTATAGTAGTTTCCAAGCTCCAGGACTGGAGGTGAGCAAAACTAGGGTTATATGGGGGTTATATGGAATGGAAAAGAAGACTCAAGATGTTGTGAATGAAAAAGACCACGTACTACTGTGAATACCAATACTAGGACTAATGCGAAAATCAATACTAGCTCCAACAATACTATAAGACTCATACCTTTCGCAACGCTAAATGTAAGGCAAACTTAGAGGTCGTCCACTAATACAGACAGAGACTAATCAATTCTTTTGAAGAGGTACGGCCCCAATTGGAGTCCTGCAACCCAAAGCTCCAACCGCAGAGTCACATGCCTGACCATTAGATCAAGTCAGCTGCATTCCTAATGAGCATGGAAGCTGCAGGAAGATTCGAAACCTTCTGCGACTAAAACCCTGCATGTGAGTTGTCTGCTCCAATATGCTTCAGGACTGCAAAGGGCTTGAAACCAGGCCAAAGAATGTGCTCAGCCAGCCTCCTCTTCCGGCCACTTTTCAGCCGGAAACGTGCGTGCCAGCAGGCGGTCCTCCCATTCTAAGCCAGATTCAGCATTGTGATCCTGTGTTAAAATCACCGTGTTGTGGCCATGCCCAGGCGCAAATACCTCAAGCCCAAACACCTTGACCGCAACCTTCCTGCGTTCTGCCGAACGTATGGCGCAGATTTGCATGTAAGGCAGCCATCAGATAAAAACATCAGGTACACTGGCAGCAGCAGCACCTGCCTGATGAGCCAAGCATGAGTCCGCATGAATTCGCTATGACCCCGGGTAGCCTTCCTTTACGGAAGCTTCCAAACCATGATTTTGAGCAAGATGCATGTTCGCTCTCGAAAGTGAGGCAGCTTCAGATCTCAAAGCTTGAAGCTAGCTGCAGCTTGAGCCCCGCTGACATGTTGGGTCTAATTCGCCAGTCTGGCCTCCAAAGAGCCACGTACCTCAAGAGTAGCCAAGCCTTGCACGCAGAGATCGTGCTGGGCCTCAGCCGCAAAGTGGCACATGTTTTTTTTTCTTTTCGGATGTCGATGTGAGGCGCTTTGGCACAATTCAATTGCCTTGGTGTTCCTGCGCAGCTTCCTCTACCAGTACAAGTACACGCCCCAGAGATATGTTAGCGACCACGCCTAGGATGTGAGTGAGCACAGCAACTACTGAGAAGAGAGGCCACCTCATGTCAAGGCTACGCCTGTTAAGCTGAAGCTTTTGTTTCTTGTGGCGGAAGCTTTCGTTTTTTTCCCTCCCGCTTGGCTGTTACGTATGCAGGGCAATTGAGATCACAACTGGAAAGTGCCGTAAGGGCACAGGTTTCTCTTCCAAGGCACGTCCAGCATGCCAACATCCGTGATGCGCCAGCTGCTATTAACTTCAACCAACCTTGCGCAATCACAGCACGGGACCGACGTCAGCCAGCACCAAGTTTCTTGAAGCTGCTTACTTTAGCATGAATACTAGTCAACTCAGCACGACTCCAAACAGGGCACGGCGCAAGGCCTATTTTGCTTGCGAACGCAAATACAAGGCGGACTGCCCCCAAAGCACAGCCAAACCAACACTCAAGCATTTGTCATTCTGCTGGCCAGGGTCCGATCGCGCCCCTTGGCTTGTCCTGCACTCAACAAGGAGCCATCACTCTCCGAACATCGCACCTGCCACCTAAGGGCATTGTCTGAACAGGTCCTCTCACGAAAAGGAGAGCCAAGTTGATGTCTTTGCTTCAAAGCTCAGCGATGGATGAGCGCCCACTCTTACGTTAACACCTGGCGTGAAAGTTGCTGACCTGCCCAACATTATGTGGAATGGCAAGCTAAGAATTTTTGGCAAACCACAAGCCTTGGGCCCAGCGGACAGCACACAGGCCCGCCAACATCAGCCTCGGCTGGCGACAGTTATATGACCGACAAATCCTGCAAGCTTCTTGAGGCCAACAGCCTTTCAAAATGCCCTTGTCATTCCACAGTGGCAGTTAATCTAGCAGCACGCATGACCGTATGTAAGCTACAGTATGCAGTCCTACGCTGTGCCTTGCGGAGTGTTTTTCGACAGGTGACCTTCAACCTGAACGAGTTGAAGATGAATGTACCCATTCGAAATAATCCGACTTGGCCTGCTGAAGCTGTGAATGCGACACCTTTGACAACTGATCAAACCACCATAGCTCCAAAATGGGCCCTACATGCAGACCCCAGCCCCAACGACACATCGCTAGAATCGGTCCCGAAAAGTCCCAAACCCAACCCAGACTGTGAAAGACCACATCGTTCTCAACCCTAAGCTCTTGACTCAATTTGATCAGTAAGTGGGCGCAGCGCTGCGCTGTCGGTAAGCGAAATCCCCGACGGACGAGGGAGATCTCCAAGCAATTGCAAACCTGTCAAAGTGTTCAAAGGCAGTGTACACAACATGAATCCAATTGACACATGTTGAAGGGACTTGATGGCTTTGGCATCTGTTTCACGTCTTCAGAGGGCATCAGCAAACGAAAGCGCGGGCACTGCAGACAAACCATGCTCAGGGAACAGGCTGCTGAGACTCCATTGACAACCGGCCGCGAAGACGAGCCTAAAGACGTGAAGCCGCTTGTCCAGCCGGAATTTCAAAAAAGGAAGCCAGGTGCTTGCGGTACTGACGACTTCTCTGGCTTCAGCGAGGGTGAGGACTGCGTGATCTTGCAAAGACATCTTGGTATTTCATGAAGAGCAATTGCGCCATTTGCCCTGGGGTTCTGCAGAACGCCCGCTTAAGCCAAGCAGCTTCAATTGTTTATAGTTGTAGCCCCACCGAGCCATCCTGAGAGAACATTTGCAAGGCTGAATTACATGCCGAATTCCAATAAACGAGGGCTTTGTTTATCCTTTGTGAACTCACGCAACATCTTGAAGCATTAGCTCCTGTCAGCTCCATTCACTTGTTGCTGCGGCTGCCGTTCGCCACAACACACTGACCTAGAAACCGTGGTAGTTGCTGCCTAGGGCTCCAGTTCTCCATGCCCCAGTATGGAACCTTAGCATTCTGACTCCTTCACATGTTACAGAAGGACAAAGTCTGATCAACACGGATCCCACAGAAGAACTGTTGCTGGTTCTCACGTTGATTCATGACGCGCAGAGGATGCCAGGACTTCGTACAGCACTCAGCGCTGCCGGGCTTGGCCGATTCTATTGCAAAGGGCAGCTGGCCTTCCTGAAGCTTAAGGATCCCACGTGACATTTCTGCAGCGGCTTATTATGTGAACTTCTGGACGCTCACACACTCCAGGGCCTTTGAGAGTGACCGCAGATTACTGTCAAAGGTGATCCTGCAAGCCTCAACAACCAACATCACCATATGGAAGCTCGGCCTGAAGCCCATGGTGCTGCTGCACTTCAGTAAGGCGGCATGATGGGCCACACGTATTCGCGGGCAGCAGTGCTCAGCTGGCACAGACTGGACGTGCCCGTGCCGGATGGACCAAGCGTAGAGGTCCTGTCAAGCAATCTTCAAGAAAAGCATTCTCTCCGGCGGAATGTGATGATCCGAGCTTTGGTGTCTGAGCTTCCATTCTGCACCCTCAGCCACAGTAGTCAAGAGCGTAGCTGACGGCTCGTGCTTACGTACTGCTGGCAGAATGTCTTCCTTGTAGCGGTGATAGAGGAAGCTGCCCATCATGGAGTGGAAGCAAATGCACTCCTGAGTCTACCATGAGAAAGTTCGCGCCCGTATTTGATACATGCCCAGTGCCTTGATGTTTCAGAATGCCCGTGGTCTCACCCATCAAACAATTGCGACCAAGAGTCTGGCAACTTCTGGAGACCTGAAGAACCAGATGACTAATTTGCATCCAAGAGTGCCAGGCACCGCAGCCTTGATTGCCAATGCCCCCTCCCCATGACAGCATGGAGCAGTCAAGGTGCTTTTGCTGGACTCTTCCCAGACTCCCTGAAGATATGGAACGAATACCTTGGTTCAAGGTGTCTGCTTCCCGGCATCTGCGTTTCAAATTGAAATCTCTCTTGGGAAAAGAATCGCAAGTGAAACTCTAGGACTCTAGGATGCCTGCAAGTGTGTCTTTCTCAGCCGCTGTGAAACGCCCAAAGAAAATCTCCATGAACATTGCAAGGCAGGGACAACCCTACAGGCTTCTTGACCGCTTGGTGCGAGGATCCAGAAAAGGTGCTTTGTCGAATCCATCAGATGGATTGGAGCCGTACAGCCTGAGCATGTCTTGCGTGAAAACACCAACTTTTGCCAGACATCTCTGAGTGCTTAAAAGAAAGCTATTAACGACTCTTTAAGCCATGAAGTGGACGCGTGAGCTACAACATGCTAAGGATTTAGAAGTTCAACATTGGCACGAGAAGGGCGGTTATCTGCGGATCCTGGTAGTTTGGATAATCCGGCATCGTTATCTACATGGGAAGGAATTGGTCGAGACAAGTTGAGGTTGCTCTGTAATCAGATTGTGTCTGCCAAGATTCATTCAGACGTACTAAGCGCTTCCAAGTCTGAATAGGCAACGAGATTAAGTTCACATATTAAAAGATTTTGAGTTCCAGCGCTTTCAGCTCCGCGATCTAGACTGACGCTTTGCTGTCGGCTTGGTCGCGGCAGCTTTGCTGGTGCTATACCGTTGCCGGACGAGACGCTTCCAACTTCACATAGCTCAAAACCAAAGCGATCTAACTCCTAAATGTCCTAAATCTGCGGCCATCAGAAACATAGTTGCAAGCAGCCTCATCTTGGTATAGCGGGCTTCACTAACACAAAGCAGTTGGCAAACATGAGTACACGGCAATCTGTTTCAAATTGAGCTGCGAAATCTGCAGGAAAACACTTTCGGTACTAACGCCATTGTACGCAGGCTAGGTGTATACGTACATGCTCCGACAGCCCTCTGGCCCAAGACATTTGATGGGAAGATGCGTTCTGGACATAGGATGAGTACCTCAAATTGCCATTTTCATATGCGCCAAAGAGTGCCAGAGCCTTGCAGGAGGTGCAACGAAAGGAAAAAAGATGCAGACTCAAGTGCACCTATCAGAGCTATAAGCGCCATCGCTATCCATCCCAGACCCCGAATCCTAAGCAGCCTGCGCTGCCAGGCCACAGCACGAGCACTTGACGCAGCGCTGCAAAGTGAGGCCGCCGGATAACCAACGGGAAGTTGTCCATAAACTCCTCACACTGGGTTGCAAAGACAAGGCATTCTAGCTGGACAAGTCTGTTCAGAGGTGCCAGTGCTAAGACACTGGGGGAACCTGTAAGCCCTACATAGATTTTGGTCAGGATTGGGCTCTGATACCAGTCATCGGTGTCACTGCAGGAAACTGCAGCAACATAGCAATGAAGACAGATCAGCTAAGCAGCGGCCACCCAAATCAAGCGCAACGCCAGCCTCCAAGGCTTGAGAAGCTAGATTTGCATCCCCGTAAAATTTCGGAATTGTCTCTGATCGTTGGCTCGCTGCTGCGGGATCGATCTTCACAATTTAACTGGAGAGATTCCAAACCCAGCTTGTTGAGGGAAAGAACACGCGCGGCGGTTTCACACTTCATCTATACTTCTCAGCAAGCGGCCAGCGTTGTCTGGAACACAGCGGAAGGTTAGGGGAGGCAGGCGCCGTGTCCACTAAACATAGCTGGGAGCTGTTGAGTAATGTGTTCTATTGCCCACAAGGAACTTTGCCACGTTGTGATGGGAAAGGCTGCGGCCATGCTCAGGCTCCAGCACAGTCGCGGGAAACACTTCATGCGCTGAATGGCCCATGACAATCGGCCTGCCAAAGAGGCGCACGTCTGAATCAATTGGTGTGCTGCTGGCAGGAAGGCTTGCCATTTGCAGAAAACTCTTGGGTCAGAAGGCGATGGCATGCTTTATGATCTAACGCACTACCACTGCATGATACGAGCTCTTTCGCTTACACCTGCCAAAATCAAAAGCCACAGCTACAGACAGCTAGTTTCCTACTCGCTTCTACCTGACGCTGAGACCTGGGGCCGTGTGGTCCGGGCTCAAAGATCAACGGCGGCAGGACGAAGGATGTAAACACAACGTCGCCTTGCCCCAGAAACGAAGCAAATAGCGGCATTGCATACACCCTATTCGCACGTTCTCTGGTACATCTCCAAGCCCTGGCTTACTGTACTGTCTGCATCATGAGTTGCTCAGGTGAAATCATGACTACTAGGACCCACTAGGCATCACACATCATAGCATTACACGTAAGGCAGGATCATCCATCACACTGCTCGAGTTTTCCCTTGCAGTGGCAACGGCCTCCAGTACAGCTTGTCCAGAGCTATAAGCGTGCCGCACAATCTCATGAAGCAAATACTTTGCGTAGCATGCAGGCTTTAGACATGCGTCGCTGGAACGGATGGACCCCAAATAGACTTCGCAACGGATGACATCTGCGCTGACATGTTTCCACAAACTGTCGATGTCTCTGCCTCTGACAAAAGGCTCACACCGACTGTAAGAGACTTGTTCTCTCCCAAGCTCGAATAACGACATTAAGCCTTTCAAACACGGACATTTGCTGGCAAAGTTGCTGTCAATCACGGCAACGTAATCTGCCGTCGAGTAGTTGTCAGCCCAGCACTCACCTTTTGAACGCAACAGGCGCAATAGTAGCAGCTTTCAGCTTCCCGCTGAAGTGAACGGCTTTTTCATTTTCATGTTCATGTACGACAACCGAAACAAGACGCCACCTCGGGCTAGAAGCCTGCACTGAGCAACTACCAACAGCGTGTTGACTTCTCTCTGGGGCGCATCAGGGTGCATATGAACTCGGTTTCAATTTTACTTCGGCCCGGGCCTCAGGATTCTTGCATAGGAAATTCCAGCACTTCAAGTTTCATAACAAAGGTCATATGACACGAGATGTGTAGTTGGCTATGACCACACCATGGCAGACGGCAAACTGGCACGTAAACCTTCAGCAGGTCTTTGCACCAGGCGAAGGGCTCCATTCCTTTTCGATCATCCCCAAAGAGTTTGCCGCGTCGGGCAACTTGCGAAGCTCATCGTAGAAGGGAGGCTTGCCCTTAGCAGTCGAGCTGCTGTAAGTAGTGGTGGAACAAGATGAACAAGCAACTCCGCAAGCCGCCAGACATGTGAGTTGATCTGTAGAGATGTTGCATCGTGGATCATCTTGGCACTGTCCTTCATTGATTTCCCACTACCTAGCTGCGAAACCAAAAGCAGGATCCATGTCGCAGCCACGACTATCCGCGCTGGTGTGCTCCCCAAGAGAACTCCTTGAGACGAGCAGCTATCAGCTCGCACCTGCGCTGCGCAGACACCCTGCAATTCAGGCCACCCATGCCTTTACAGAAACATCCTGCTTAAAAAAGTACAGTCTAAGGCATTTAAGGTTGATGCTCCACTCTGCGCTCTAGTCCCATGGCGGCTGCTACAGAACCGTAAGTTCACCAAGTACGTCCTGTCCTAACGAATCTGAGAAGCAAAGCGACAGCAGCCATCGCATCTCATGCAACAAATCAAGGCAAGGAGCCCCTGCGCCATCACCCCCCACACCCAACGACAACACAAAACTCGAGAAACACGTCTTTGCTAGGCGGCATTTTGTGAGAGTCCAATCCCTGCCTCGCCCAGGACGGCAAAGAGCGGCAAATGGCCTGTCACTTTGCGCATTGCCGCGCGGCCATGCCTACGCCCTGCTTCGTCTTCTGATTGCAGCAGGTCAAGACCGGAAAGCTACCCATAACCGTAACCCATATGCAGCCGTCCCTGACGCACCTCATCCTCAGGGCTGCCGGAGTCCTGAGAGAACGCCATGGTATGAAGCTGATAGAGGAATTGCAGGACTTGTTATCAAGAGATTGTTTTTGCCATGCCGGTGAGTTGGAGATGGCCGAAACGCGCACTGACTGCCTGCAAAAGTCGATGAAATCTGTGTCCCTGGAAACGGAGAAACATCCTGTGAGAGATTCTTGTCCCGACTGCGCAGGGCAAACAGGAGGAATGCGCTTTCATGCATTCTCAATCCAGCCTAGCTTTCTTTTGCCGGTGGTCAGCTTTCCGGCATTTCTTGTGCTGAACCGGCGCGGCTGTGTGCTGGGATGCGATCTGAGATGTTTTTTGTTGATGGCTGCGTTGCGTGTGCCGAAACTACTCTACCAATATCATCCGGCAATTGTTACATTGCACATCATCTCATGAAAACTGCCAGGACTCCAGCGCCACAATGACGCCCCAGTAGCTTGGCCAAAACACCTGGCCAAAGAGCGATCCTTTCTTGACAAGATGTTCTAGGCTACCGGATGCCTGGGTGAACAACCCTTCGTTCTCGTCTGTGGGGGCCCCTGTTCTAGGGGGAATACTACGCTATACATGTCTTGGCATGTTGGCTGCTAATTGGCACTGATCCTACGAAGGGAAGCTACGTCTTGTGCAAAACCATCGAAGCAACACAAAGGCACTGTCTTCAGTCAGACAGAGCTGCAGAGAACCAACCACCCCAGCCATCATGCATGTTCCCGACAACAGGACGCAGTTGCTAAAGGTGGCACTGACCAGATCAAACGCATGGACCATTAGCGGTCCTCAAGACTTTCCGACCATCCATGCTGTAACGCAGCAGGCTAGAGTAGCGGCTGCAGTACCTTCTCAAGACGAAAGAGCCACGCGCACTTTTTTTTTTCACGAGCCGCTTTGGCTTGTACGGCTTCGAGCAAGGCTCTCACGAGGCGTTAACAGAACGCCCTGCTCGCCTGACAGCACAAACCGAAAGATTTCTCAGCATGAGTTGCCTTTTGTGAAAGGTGGCAGCGGTTGGGCAGCGTTTGTAGGCAATTCCTTTGCTCCAACTTCCGGGCCGGAGCTCGGAACTTCAATCTAAAAGTTGCTACGTTATTCCACCACCTAAGCGAGCTGAGCTAACGCGTGGACTGCTATACAACCTTGACCTGAAACTCTGCAGTGCCGATGTGTCTCCGAAGGATTGGCAAAGCTAGCCCCTGAAATCAACTTACACTTGACTTGTTGAAGGTTCTGGGCTGCTGGGCTGTGATGACGTCTTTCCTCTCTCGCCTAGGCGTGTGGTCCGAGGCGAGGGGGCTCGGCGCAAGGGGGCCAAGGTCCTGGTGGTTGTTGCCGTTGCAAAAGGCTGAGCGAATAATGCACGAAAAGCTGATCTAAAAAGGCTGGCAGGATAATAGTTTAAACTGAGACCCCCAAAGCTTGCTGTGATGGAAGTGCCTGTCGCAGCCTGTCCTGCAAAAGAAGAATGACAGCACTTGCCCCTGTATGCAGGGAGCCAGGTTTGAAAGTAAGTCCTCTTCGCGCCTGAAGGTGTGGCTTCTAAAGGCCTCAGCTAACTGCTACTGGCGCAGCATCAGCTTTCAAACCAGATTCCACCTGCGTCCTCATTGTTCAACTGAACCTGACTTGAACAAGTACACGTAGTCTTTAGCCTGTTTCAGCTATGTTGGAGATCCTCTTGAATCTGTTTTAGCGTGGGGTCCTGGTAAAACCACAAAAATCCCTGACGTTACGTCAAAAAGGCCGCTCGTTGATGAATTTTCTTGCCACACGAAATGCCTGGGGGGCCTCTGCCTAACAAGGGTGCAAAGACTCAAGAGTATGCAAGCCCGCCCCAGGTTGACTGATAACATTTGTGGGCCTTGGAGACATGCACAGCTGCGGCTTGCATGATAAAAAAATTGGCAGAAGCTCCTTGGGAAAGGTCGCACTTCCCGGATTGAAGCAGAATGAAAATTCTGGCGCTGCGATGCGCTGCGCGTCACGTGCTGCACTTGAAAAGGCGTGTATCACATCCGACTTCCTCATCAGTCTCTATATATATATATACATAATGCCAAACAAGTCAGGCCTTGCGATATTTTTGGGGTAGGTGATGCTTCCTGCCCTGGTATAAGAACTCGTGTTGGTTGACTGCTGCTCATAATCTTTCTCGCTTCCACGCATGCTATCCTTTATGAAAAGAAGAAACACCACTTCTCACCGCATGAAAATTCAAGGGGCAACACTCATCAACATGATTGATACATGAGATTTGAGCGCAGGGACAGCCGCGGGGAGTTGGCGCGGGCCGGTGCAGAGCGACTCGAGCCCAGGCCACGCTGTGGCGGTGAGGTGCCTGGAGAGCTGCAGCTAACTTTCCATGTCCTGTCCGAAGGCCCTCCTGGTGCCTGAATTTAAAGCATAGGAACTCCAGTCTGCATGCAATGTTCGACCTGGGTAACTTACACCTCTCCATGTTTCTTAGAGCAACCACTGTAGTCTTACCCTTCATCTTTTGGAACAGAAGGTTATCTTGGGCATGTTACGCAGCAGCAACCTGAGAACTCCTGGTACCCTTTGAGTTTGAGACCATATACTTACAAGTATGCTTGGGAGTCTTGAATTTGACTTTGCGTACTGGTTTGGATCTTGGGCGGGGTCATGGGTCCCTGGTCGCATGACAATTGGTCATAAGCACCCATTGTTTGCTTGGTGATCCCAAGGTGACGTTTTCTTCATTTGTCTTACTCCATGCCCTGTTTGCTTTACCCTGTTTGCTTTACAGAAAAAAGGCACCCAATCGCCAAACTTCCTTCGACTGCGTACTGCACACAACTTGTGGTCCGCCACTGCCTTCCTGATGTGGTGTGGGCATCGTCTGAAAGCCAGCGCTTTGCCGGGATCCCTGAGATAGCGGCCTGGGAAATCTTAGCTCCCCGTAGTAGAACAAAGGTTCGGGATCTTGAGATGCCCTATAGCTGATGACTTCGGCCCTGGAGGTTTTGAAAGCTTTGGCACTGAGGAATGCTCGTGCGGCCCTTGCGTGAAGCTGCAAGTAGTTTCCGCCGGCCCTCGCAGGTAAACCCTAGGAATGTAATTCTTCGGCATGGTGGTGATGATGATGATGATGGGGGTAAGCGCATGATGTGTCCAGAAGGCTCTTTGGCTGTTGCATAATGGGCTTGCTTTTGACATGAGGGTCAGAGCAAAACAATCCTCACAGCACACAGTACAGGTTCTGCAAGGCGGCACGAACACAAAGTTGCATGAAACGCCTGAGAGAACATGAACGTGGAGCTCGATTTCTTGGTATGCTTGCTAGAATCAACGCAAGTTCATTCCATCATCTTGCACTGTGAATAAGTTGGCATTGATGAGGCTGCTGGAGCGGCCTACGCAATAAAGGCTGACATGTGTTGGATGTAGGCAGCACCAAAGTGCTTTGCATGATATGAACCTTCCGCGTGAAAGTCGCTCTGGTCGTTTCGGGACATTTTTTGAGGCACGGGCAGAAGAGTCCGAGGTGACCGCGCTCGGCTGGGGGCTCCTGCAACAGGACCATCTTACAATTATGATAAGTATGACTGCATGACGGTTCTCAAGCAGGGCTCTTTTAGCTGTAAATCGGCCACTTCAGCAGTTTGGATTCAAGCGTTCATCGGCTTCAGATTTGAGAGCTCAAGGCTTCGGTGCTTCCAATGCGCTGAGCCCAGGCAGACCTGCCAGGCAGATCTATGTGGCAAAGCCCCATTTGAGCAGAGGATCCGCATCTCGGCAGTTTGGGAGAAATCTCGTGCTGGGACTGATCGGGACTGGGCCTTTGTGGCCTGCGAAGGTCCTAAATGCGAGCATCCCCAGTCCCAAACTTGATACAAATTGCCGCGCTCCGCGAACCTTCGTAAGTTGAGATTCTGATAGGTTCGCGTAGCCCCCAGCCATGCAGAAACTCTGTGCCAGCCTCCCGAAGGAGGCTTAATGACGTCTTCTGACCTGACGGTGCGCCACTCAGCTCAGTGCTTGGGTTGAAAGGGGTGGGCACCTTTTTTGTTTGGGAGTTGAGTTGGCATACTGTTGGCATACTAGCAGCTACTAGCATGACATACAGACCTGATGTAACAACTGAGCTGTCTGCAAAAATACAGCCAAACAACTCACCACGTTTTTTTGTGTCACGACAACCACTCTCGACGCAGTTGTAGCCACATGACCAATTTCTATGACCTTTGCTCCATGCACCCATCCCCTGCAAGACTTGCACACTGTTGCCGCTCCTAGGCTATCATCACGAATTCCTCTCACCCACCGTTCCACCGCTGGGCCTCGAGTGTTGGGAGGATGCCATTGGCTCCAGCGAGGCTGTTGGAGGTGAGCGCCTTTACTCCAAGACGGGGTCGTTTGGGAGCTTGCTTTTTTAAGGTCCGTTTACACTGGCACCAGCATGCAACTTGGGAGAATCATGCTAGTAGATTTCTGTGCCTATTGCTCTTGCTGCTTTCTCGGCCGAATTTGTCTAGCAAAGTCATTTGGTGACGTTTGAGGGATACATGGTACATGTATCTAACGACTTGGGGCCCGGCCTTAGAGCCCAACTCATGCTCGGACTGCTGCATTCAAAGCACTAGCTGGCTGACCCATGCACTCTCAAGCCCAAGGCCTGTTGTCCACGGTAATGTACCCTCCTCTGGGCCGATCCTTGTGGACACGAGAAGTACCCAAGAAGAGTTGCCCAGCACATAAGCATCCCCCATTACTAATACACTGAAGCTGCTGTATCTCATTTTCTTTCTCCATGAGCTCTTGATGCCTACATCTCACATGACGCTGGATTCGTTGCTGACATGTGGCAGGGCGACGACCCGTCGGAGGGTGGACATCCTCGAGCACACCAGCAACACAAAATTCTCGGGGGCCTGCCTGGACGCCTCGCCATCAATTCTTACCCAGACCACTGGAACGTTGCTCCATAAGGCCTCGCTGTGGCCCACAGATCCACAAAATTTAACGAGCATGGGGACAAG